GGGTGATCTCTTGGACAAATCACCCACTCGGTTGCCACAATAGGGTCTGTACGCAAGGGGAAGGGCAAGGGAAAGCAGGAGTCTCTCCCGGTGGATTGACCCGTGACGAGATCCTATGCCCGGGCCCATAACAGAAGGTACCTACTGACAAGGGCTTAATGCTTTCTTTGAGCATAGGTCAAGGTAGGTTCCAAGTTGGGCAGGGACATGTCAAGGGCTGCTTGTCCCTTGACATGCTCTCTTCTTAAGGAGTCCACACATTGGTCACCATGCCCAACTCTAGATCATTTTTGGAGAAAGTATGACATGGCTAGAGTTGATAGTTCGGCAGTTGGAGAACTTGGATCCACACTATGGGACATTTGGGGGCTGCATGAGCACCGTTACCACTGATACAAGTTCCTTCACCTATCCTCAGTTTTGTTTACTCCACTGTTTTAAAAGGTATGCCTAGGCTTATAAGCAAGGTCCATTTCATGGGATGTGTCTCTGAAAAGCAAAAACTACCAAAGAAACTTGATTGACAAATGGAATGCAACAAAAAGAATCTCTACTTCAATACCCTATCAAAGAAACATGGAGCTAGGAATAGGTAGGTCCTTTATTTCCTTTTTTAAGTTATTTGTTGATTAGGAATGTGTGTGTGTGTGTGTGTGTGAATGAAGATAACATCATCCCTTGGAGAGAGATACAGATGAATTATCATCAAACTGAATGAAGATTTTCCCTATGTATGCTATGTGGTAATTATTAGAGCTTGTTTTTTCTTCTGATAAATGAAAGAAAATTTTATTAATACCAAGAGAGCATTACAAGCAACCCTTGGAGAGGCATGAGCTGCGACCTCTCCCAACATAGAAATTAGAAATAAAAAACTGAAAGTACAAATTACAACTAGACCCAATACAATTGATCCCTATTTGCCTCTTTCTTGGTCAAGTAATCAGCCACAGTATTACCCAACCTTCCCATCCATTGTTAACCACTTGAACTTCTTGATTTCATCCCTGTAAAAGTAGCACCAAGTGATAGACTTTGGATCCTTCAACCACCCCACTACCACCTTAGAATCAAAATTTCCACACTTAGCTCATTTGCAATCTAGGTTCCTTGTATAGAAACAAGTAAGTCAACCCTTATAGAATATCCTACTCCCATAGGACCCAAGAATAAAGCCATAACAATTCCATCCTTCTCTCTATGAACCCCTCTAATTCCAAAAGAACCACATTACCTTGACTACTCCCATCAAAATTCAGCTTCATATATCCTTCAAGAGAAGGTGTCCAAACCAAATTTATCCCATCCTTCTTAGAGGAGCTACTTGCCACAAGTAACCAATTCCTTCAAATATCATCAAAGGAGAAAAAGTGATACATATTCAAGGTCTTTAACCAATGTATTACCCTAGTCATCACACAATCCTTGATTTCTTGTTATCTTTTCTTCCTTTTGTTGAAATATTCTTGCATTTCTTTCTTCTCAAATGGTCCAAATCACTGCTGCTCTCGCACAACGTTACCCTTACCCTTTCCTTAGGACAAGCAAAGGTAGACAAGTCAAATAGCATATTTACTATTGTTGGCAAAATCCACCTGCACCAAAACAAAGAGAAAAACCACTCCCAAATATCTGCAACAAAGGGACAAGAGATAAATAAGTGGTAACAACCCTCTTCATTAGATTTACGAAGTACACACCAGTTTGAAGAGATACACAAAAAAGGTCTTCTCTTCTGTAAATTATCGGAAGTGCTTACTTTTCCCATAAAGTACTTCCCAGCAAAACACATTGGTTTTAAGAGAGATAGGCCTACACCAAAACTCCTTGAAGGGGAAAGTCTAAGGAGTTGAAGACTAACAAAGGAACTTAAAAAGGAGGCATAAGAAAAGGAGCCTTTAGGGTGGGGAATCCAAACTCATCTATCTAGTTTAGGGGGTTCCAAACAAACATTACCAAGAGTAAGCAAAATCCCAACCACTGAAGCAGACTCCTCACCACTCAACCTTTTACGAAACCCAAAATCCCAACTCAAATTATTAGAGCTTGTTTTAAGATTCCTCTTTTGATAAATGAAGAATTGTATTATTATGGAAAAGAGAGCCAACTAAGCCCGGTTACAAGGATGACATGGTTGAAGGTATAGGACTTGTAAAAATATGTAACTCATGTAGTTGGAAAGATAATTTCAAAATATCATTCCAATGAAAAGTGTTAAACAACATAAAATAGCTCTGATACCATGTCAACCAACATAAGATAGAATAGTAACTCAAGGAGGAAACAAGAAAAAGAAATAGAGAAATACCAAGGTTTAACGTGGTTCGACTTGGTAGCCTACATCCATGGGAGGAGAGGAAACACATCCACTATGAGAACAAGAGATACATCTCTCTCTCTCACCTCACTCCCTAATCTCATACAACCACTTGTTTAAATAAGCAAAAGACCAAAATACATCAAAATTACACATAAGCCCATTTTCTAACATAAATACATATAGGTCACTTATCAATATTATAAATACAACCAAATTCAGTCAACACACCCCCTCAAACTCAAGGTGGGAAAACCAGATTGAGTTTGCCAGTAAGGATGCTGAAACAACCTCCATGAAAATAGGTTTTCTATTGAAGCAACAGCCATGAACCTTGAGATGTTGAAGGGACCTCTGAAGCAATAGTTCACCGATACACCAAGGGAGCTTCACACATTCACCAACAAAGTTATCACCACACCACAAATCATTACCAACTCACAAACATCCATAACTCGAGGCATCACAACCTCTTTTCCAACTCATTAAACAACACCATCTCGTAAACAACCACAACTCGAGGCATCAAAGCCCCTTTTCCAACTCACAAACCCACCACCAACAAACAACCACAACTTGAGGCATCACAACCTCTTTTCCAACTCACAAAATCACAAACAACCACAACTTGAGGCGTCAAAGCCCCTTTTCTAACTCACTAACTCACAAGCAACCACAACTTGAGGCATCAAAGTCCCTTTTTCAACTCACAAAACCATCATCAACTCTCAAACAACCACTACTTGAAGCATCACAACCTGTTTTCCAACTCACCAACTCACAAGCAACCACAACTTGAGGCATCAAAGCCTCTTTTCTAACTCACGAAACGTCGAAACCACCACCAACTCACAAAGAACTTCAATCTAAGACTAGTAGATGACATCAATAGTCAATTACTACATGGAGAGATTTCATAGTAGTCAACTACTATCAGTATCCTGCTCCTAGTAGTCAACTACTACACAGATTTCATAGTAGTCAACTACTACTTCAACTGAACATGAAATAGCAGTAACCAGAACACCTTCACAGCTCACAAAATCACTTTTCACAACACTATTAAACTCTTCACAACAACCAGAACACCTTCACAACAACCGGAACACTTTCACAGCATCCAGAACACCTTCGTAGCAACTGGAACACCTTCGCAACAACCGGAACACCCACTCTGATACCATGTTAAACAATATAAAATAGCTCTGATACCATGTCAACCAACATAAAATAGAATAGCAACTCAAGGAGGAAACAAGAAAAAGAAATAGAGAAACACCAAGGTTTAATGTGGTTCGGCTTGATAGCCTACATCCACAGGAGGAAAGGAAACATATCCACTATGAGAACAAGAGATACAACTCTCTCTCTCTCTCTCTCACGCACACACACACTCTTACTCTCTTCCTCACTTCCTAATCGCACACATCCACTTGTTTAAATAAGCAAAAAATCGAAATACATCAGAATTACACATAAGCCCCTTTTCTAACATAAATACATATAGGTCCCCATAACTTATCAATATTACAAATACAACCAAATACAATATATCTCTTAACAAAAAGGATCATTACCCAAATATTGATCCCAATTATCCAGGACCTTGGGAGAGTGGACTGGATAGGGATGTAATCTTTGGCATTCTTTTTTGCAGAAAGTGGCTGCTCTCAGAGTCCAACCTACTTTCTCATGCTTGTTAGTCTTGAGAGTTTATCATTGGACCAAACAATGACCCCTGAAAAGATAATACCACTCCAATCTAAGCAAAAATTTTAAAACATTAGATATCTAAATAGCAATAGAATGGATGCCCAGAAGAAGATGGCCCTTTCAATTTTTGCAATAATCCTCCCGTCCTGTTGAATATACAAGGTAAGATTTCTCAGTTCATATTCCCTTTTTAATCTTTTCTTCCAGTTATTGAGCCTTTTTTCTGGGTTTCCTTCTTTGCTTGGTTTTATTAATGAATTTTCAAAATTTAGAAGAGCAAATTTTAGAATTTGAAAAATCCAATTCCTTGTTGGGTCAATAAAATTCTTATGGAGTACTGCCTCAATTATATCAGTAAAATTAAGTTTGTGTGTGACTGGTGTTGTGGAGAGTGGAGTCTGGATTTCCAGTTCTAGACACAGGTGCAAATATTTCAATGGCTGAAGTGATAATCTTGATTGTGAAGCTGGTGGAGCTTGGCTACTTTGCATACTGTACTCTCTGAACTACAACCATGGGTTCATGTTCAAATTATAGCTTATGCACTCCAAAAACAAATACATAAGCAGTAATTTGGCTTTGGTTTTATCCAAATTAATTGCATGAAATTAGTTGGTTCGTATGGGAATCTGATACATTAATCTTGATGGTTCGTAATTTTATGGTAGTCATAAACCTCACATCTATTGGCATCTTAAATTAGGGGATGTCCCAAGAGTGAACGGCCAGTTAGCAGTTTCTCGTGCTTTTGGAGACAAGAGTCTTAAATCACACTTGCGATCAGATCCTGACATACAAAATGCAGACATTGATTCTGATACTGATCTTCTCATCCTTGCAAGTGATGGTCTATGGAAGGTTTGACGTCTTGATTTTTTACCATTCTCCAGTATTATTTATATTTATGTGTGGAATATCTTTATGCATCTTTTGTTATTTATACAGGTTGTGGCCAATCAGGAGGCAGTTGATATTGCAAGAAAAATCAAGGACCCACAGAAAGCAGCCAAGCAACTAACAGCTGAAGCAATAAATAGAGATAGTAAAGATGATATATCCTGTATCGTTGTTCGATTTAGTTGGTAAAGCATGAAGGTGCAATTTATCCTTAGCTGCTGCTTTGCATATCTTAGGAATCTCCATTAGTGGAATGCCAATCTATAGACGACACCAGCCATGAGACTTGTGCCTCAGTGGGGTGGTCCTCACAGTATCCAGCAGAATTACGAAATTACTCTGAACAAAGGTTATATTGCTTCGCTTCCCGCTGTAAATTTTTTTCTTTTTTTTTTTCCTTTTCCTAGGTTGTGGGCTTTGATATTGTTTGATTTCTTCAACATTTATTAGCAATCTGTTGTACACCATCAGTTTTTCCTTCTCTTTTTTATTCTAATTTCTATTTCCATGAAATCCATGATGCAATATAGTGGACAGACGGATTATTTGTGATAATTAATGGAAAGTCTGGTTTTGTTGTTCATGATGAGGATATTGATATGCTGCCTATATGCTCCATCCATACGGAGAAAATCATTGGTAGACCTCAATGAGCATCTCTCAAGACTAACACCAACTTCTTTTGACGTTTAATTGCAGCACATTGAAGCCAATTACAGAATCATCCATTAGGGAAAACAAAAACCCGTCATAAGATATGATAGGTTTTAAGCACCATTTAGGTCCGTTTAGTTTGCGAGAATAGGGGTCCAGAACCAATTGTTTGGTTGGACAGAATTGGAATCTCATTCCCATTTCCAGTGGAATAGCATTCTCCCATTTGAGAGAATGGCCATTCCCTCTCCCTCTCCAAGGAATGAGAATCCATTCCAGCCAATTCTGATTCCGATTTCAATTCCAGACTAAACCAAACAGGTGAAGGGAATAGACCATTCCAATTTTGATTCCAATTCTTAATCTGACTGTAAACCAAATGGACCTTTAATAATGAGCCCCCTCCCCCCACCCCATCCCAACCCACCCTCTCTCCCTTTCTTAAATTGACTGAATGATCATTTCTAGGTGATGGCTATTAACATTAGACATATTGAGTTATTAAAAAACCCACTCAGGTTTTTTTTTGTGTTATTTATTTATTTATTTTTGTGACTCTTACAAGAGTTGGTTTATGCAAGTAGATCTCATACCATGTTTAACTTATTCATAGTTTACTATAAAAATTGTTCAAGTTAAATACTAGGAAAATTACTGATAAGAGGAATTTTAAAATTTCACTAGGGAATGTGGAATACATTCTTGAAAAAAAATTACTGACGGGCACTTCTAAATTTTCATTACAATCAAGGAATGTGAAACAGCATTTTTACAAAAAAATTCCTTTAACTAAAACTTGGCACAGGAAATTGAAACCGCGTCTGCATCTGCTGGCGAATTAGGTCAAGTACAAGGTTTACAAATACTGTTTGATGTTGCACCAAACGTATTTACATTTGTACAGTGCCAAAAATGTGGTTTGTGTTAGATTTGGGATAGTGAGCATAACTTTAGGAATAAGGAGAATTAGGTCAAGTACAAATATGTTCCTTCCTTATATGGCTCAATTTGGGAAGAGTATAAAACAAATATGTGAACTACAAATATAAGATTTACAAATGCAATTATAAGGTTTTCTACTATACATATTTGTATTTGCACTCTTTCCAAATTGAGCCCAATGCAAATACAAGGTTTAGTAATACCATATATGAGGTTTTGCACTGTACATATTTGTATTTGTATTCTTCCCCAATTAAGGCTAAGTTGTGAAATGCTTAAGCACTTATTTTGGGGTTAGGACCATACCAATAAGCACTTATTTGTGTTTGAAAAATAAACCCAAAAAAAACTCTTATTTGAGAAGCCCAATTTTTAGTTTATTTTTAAGTGCTTATTTCCTTTTTGGCTTATCTTGGCCGATCACATCATTTTATAAATACCTATATTACCCCTGTCACCAAATGCTCATAAGTACTTATTAGAATAAGCACTTGTTTTTCAAATAAGCACTCTCAAACTTGGTTTAAGCCTTATAATTATTAGGCTATTAAATACTATATATATATATATATATATATATATATATATATTTGTACTTGCACTCTTTCCAAATTAAGTCTCATAATTATTAGTCTCAGCTTGCCAAAAATACAAACACAAATATGTACAATACAAATACAAGATTTAGAAATATCATATGTAAGGTTTTGCATTGTACATTTGCTTTCGCACTCCTTCCAAATTGAGCCTTATGTAGAGTGCTGATACATAAAAACGTTGCTCTTGTTATTTAGGTAAAGTATACTAGTAGCACAAATTGTAGCAGAAAAGAAAACATTATCTAGTGTCTAGGTGTCTGGAGGATTCAATTAAAGGTTCTATCTCCCATGGGCTTTGTATCCCCTGGTCATTCATTAAGGTTATGCTTTTAATTACATCAACAACTAGTTTTGCCAGAAGATCCATCTATAAATAATACATTGATTTATTCAGACTTAATTCTTAATTCACTGCGAAGAGATCGAATTCACATCTGCGCCCCACATGCACATCTGAGCGTGCATTGAGAACATCTCCCGTGGGGCGCGCTCTGTGGGGTGTAGATGAATCAAGAGTATTGTCAAATGTTAATGTAATTTTATTTTTAACGATACCTAAGAAAAGTTATTTTGAGAATTTTGTCATGTATTTATTGGGCCACCCAAGTTGGGCTGGGGCATATATTTTTAAGTTCATGTTGGGTTTCTCGCATTGAGTCTCTGGTTGGGTTGGGTAAGGTTGAGATACCCTTACCTCAACTTGGGCTTGGGTTGACCTTAACTTGTTCCAACCTGGTCGGAGTAGCCCCGCTCTGAGAATTAAGAATATTTTAATTTGTCCATGTATCAACCAGTGATTGAACACTTTCAATCACTGAATAAGTTCAAATAAAACCCCTGGGGAAGGGGGGAGGTATTGGTATTTAACCAAAACCCCAAGGGCGATGCCATAGTGGTGTGGTACACATAGTTTAGTTGGGTGTTCTCAATCCGAGTCTGATCCGGCCCAAGCCATAATTTTATGTGGGTTGGGCTTGGATTTTTAGCTCTCGAGCTAGGCCTAGGCCCTTTCATTTCATGGGTTGGGCCCAGGCCTAAGGTACCTTAGGTATTCCAAACCTGGTCAGTCCAATCCGACCTTTATCCTAACCTAAGTTCAAACTGACTGTATATATTCAAATATACACAAGCATGCATATTTATATATACATATACATACTTTTGCATAAATGTATGCATGCAAACATTTATATTAAATTTTAGAGCGATCAATCTCAATCCAACCCAAGTACATCAAATTTCAAGACAATTTGAAAATATTAGAATTGACCTCAGGACTCGGTCCAGACTCGGATCTTAAACCCAAATCTTAAGGTTAGACCTAGGCCTAGCAAAACCCACTGACTTGCATCCCTACTATTTAGTGGGGGTTGGTGGATTGGTGGTGGGCCTGGTAGCAATGCATGCACAAGCCCACTGGCACCTGCAGTGTGGTGAGCCTGTGTCCTATAGGTAGAGGGCCAATTGACCTATTTTAGGATCTATAGTGAATCTATATGCTAATGCTTGACTTTCCACTAGGGCCAATAATTACATCTGAATATTATAATAGTATCATATAATGTGAAATATTGACAAATGGTGGTTGTGCAAACATTTTAATCTTTAAATCTAATCCTTTGATTAGATCATTTAAAACGTATAGGAGAAGAATTCAAAATATGAGTGCCTCTTCATCTTTTCGCCCTTTTATCTTTAATTGCACATGTGAATGGCATGTGATTTTAATAAAATTTGTTGATTTTAATGAAATTAATAGAAATAATAGAACAAATTAAAAATTAATATTCGTTTAAAAATTATTACAGAATTATCTAATAATAATAAAATTTAAAAATAAGAAAATAAGAAAAATAGTACAAAACGACACAAACTGATTTATTTCAAAGTTTGATTACATTAATTTAAATCCCTTCAACATTAAACATTAATAAATTGAGGTTTGGTTGGATTCAGATCGGCTCAGCTTACTTGGGAATATTATAGTGCTTTGCTTAAAGCCTATCCACTACATGTGCACGACAGCACGAGTCCCAATTAATTTTATATTATATAAATTAGAAAATAAATTTTATAAATATATTATTTATCATATTATATAATTAATATTACACATTTATCAATCTATCTATTTATCTTTATGCATATACACAGTATATAACAAGACAGTCCATGTCACCTTGATTCTCCTTGCTCCTTTACCCCAATCCTACATTCTCCTTGACTCTCTTCTCCCCCTTCCCACCACTCCCAATTTGCCATCTCAGCACCTTCTCTCTTCATTCCTCTCCCTTTCCATTGGGTTCTCTCTCTCTCCCCATAACTCACGTCTCTCACTTTCGATGTTTCTTATATATTCATGGCATCTTCCATTATTGTTGAATAATTTATTCTTAAATAATTCATTAGTTATGAAAATTATTAAAATTTTTGGAAAATATTCTACCAAAAATTATGAAATAATTATTTCATAAGCAATCCATTATTTAATAAATATTAAATAATTTAATAATCTACCAAAAATTAATAAACAATCCATTATTTAATAATTTTTGGTTATTAATAAATGTTCAAAATTTCAACGTTTAGTGTAATTTACATTAAATTGTAATTTAATAATTTTTATGACAATAATTTATTGATAAAAGATATTACTAATTATCATAATTTACTAATTTCTATAAAATCAATAATTATAGTTAACAATTATCAAATAATTTAAGGAAACTTTCTAAACTAATAATTCATAATTATTTTTTAAATAAGTAATTAAAAAACTAAGAAACTAATCTATGAAAAAAATATTCTTCAAAACTATTTAGATAATAATCCATTATTATTATTATTCAACTAAATAATTATTAAAAATTTACAAAAATTAAATTAGGAAATTAAAAATAATGTAATTTACCATAATTACATTAATTTACTATAATTATATTTACTTTGATTAATAATAAATAATTTACATTAATTTATTGTTATTGTAAATACTTAATTTACTATACATTACTACTAATCAATAGCAATTTCAACAATTTTTTGAAAAATTATCATAAAATATTGTTAGTTAATTAGTTATAGAAATTTATTAAAATTGTAGGGATGGCAATTTTCCTTGAAAAATAGGGGCCCTACCCTACCCCACCCCGAACGGGGCAAATTTTCTCAAGTCTTAAACAAAGACGAGACAAAGACGGGGTGGGGACAAGAAAAATATTTTTGCCCCAAATTAGGGATGGGGTTTGCATATAATTCCCCAAACCCAATGGTAAATTAGTAAAATATTCACAGATTTAATATTGGTTTTTAAAACATCTCTAAGTTTTTCTCATATTCTTATAATTCTAGGATCCCATAATTTCATTTATAAAAGACCCCCAAATTG